AGCCAATCAGAAGTCAGTATTTAAGTTTGTTACACAAACCTGCAGATCAAATATTAAAAACTGCAATTTGATTGGCTTTCTCTAAATGCAAACCTCTCTAAATGCACGTTTTAAGCTGGTCTGTACACGTTGCATTTATAGAGGTTTGACTGTAGTACTACAAATAAACTAGACTAAACTCTATACTAGTTATTTATATTTATATCTAGGATGTAAAATGTCAAAAACCATCTGGCCTTGAAGTAAAGCTTCAAGAATCAAAACTTCTAATTGCTATCACAAATCTATCGACACATCTTCTACAATATTTCTAATATTATCACATTATCTTATATTATAACTCAAAGTAAATATATATATATATATGTTTTTTCTTTTTTAGTAATGATTGTTGTTGTCAATCTTTTGATGAGGTACACTGTTTTTCATACTTTTTGAAGAAATATTATGAAGGCCAAGAGTAGGTATGGAAGAGGGTTTCAGTTTATAGGTAGCCTTAAACTTCGATAAGAAACATATTAAAAACTTACTTGTTATTTTTCTTAGACCAACTATCTTTAATTTAATTAGCAGAAACATAGCTTCTATTAAAATTTTTTGCATAAAAGCACCATTTTCTTGCCAATTATCTTGTATAAGAATGCTTTTAACTTGCATACCAAATATATAAAAGAGTCCAAAAAAAGACAAGACAAGCTTTGACCTTTGTAATACAATAATTGTTAAACACTTAGATGTTAGTAAATCATCAATAAGTTAAGTTCTTAAACAATTTTAAAGAGATCTCCTTTAGTATAGGTGGGCATATATAAATTATTATAAGATTATAATATATAAAACCAACTAATTTGAGCCAATTTAAACTCTAACCTTAACCCTGACCCTAATAATTTATAAAATTATTTAAATTAGTTCAAAATAATTAAGTTATATATATTATAATTGTATAATAATTATATATGCCCACCTATACTAAAGATCAACCATAAAGTATCTTAAGACTTTAATTGGAAAAAAACCTAACTGATATTTTTATGAGTTACAATTTGAGATAGAACTTTGATAACAAAGATTGTTAAATTTAATATGGGTACACATAAAAGCTTAACATAAATTTGGAGCCATTACAGTAGAAAGGGCCCAAACTCCCCCGAAAATCAAAATTGAGTTTTTGTAAGATTCAAATAAATTTCAAGACGGGCTACATTTTTCGATTATAAATGAAAATTATAAAAAATTGAAATATTTATAATTTTTTTTTTAGAGAATTCGTACATCACGAGATTATCCGATATAACTAACCAATCAAATCACGGAATTTTTGATTGACCCGGATCAGTCCGAACAAAAAATTGTATATTTCCAATGGCCCCATTTATTCAAATGTATAATACGTATACGCAAATTGAATTGTGTAAGCTAACACTAAGTACATTATTAATCATTACGTATCAATATATCGCATCATTATCATTATCAATATATAAAGAAAAAAAAACCATAAATTATATTTCGCTACAACCATGCCTAAGAATATCGATATTCAATTAACCGCAAAATTTTTGTGTAATGGTGTTAAACTTTCTGAGGATACACATAGCTTTAGTACATTGATCATGCCGAAATCAATATCTTATCGAATCGGCTGAATAATCATTCGGTTAATTTTTCATAAGGGAATAATGATTACAGCTGTAATTGTAATAAAAACTTTATCGTTATACACAGATCGTCGATTTACGTTCGCCACTTTACCCTCGTTAAATTAAACCGTAGCACGTTACATAATTTATACGTACGTACGTACGTACGTACACAAAGCACAATTTTTTTTTCATATTAAAGTTGCAAAATTAAATATACATGCGTACCGTATATATATATAGTTTTTTTTCTACATAGAAAAAAAAACATTAAGAAAAAATTTTTCATAGAGTTTTATTTGTTTAACTTCGCCACAATATTTTAAGTCTTCCCTGATTGGATGAAAAGGATAATAGAAAAAATAATACGTGTACGTACGTACGTATACGTGTACATTACACAAATTCCTGAATATATAAATGATTTTTTTTTTTTCTTCGCCCAACAATATCACAATAACGTTATATGTGTCCCGAAACATTCAATAACATATAAGTCGTTTCTCAACAAATGGATGTCTCTTGTCCAACCTCTCCTATTGACGACGACGAGCATTTTGAATTTGTCGACTATACAGCAGCTTCACAATGGGAACGTTTTATAACTACTGTTGAAGAAATATTAGTGGGCTGGGGAGTAACAGACGGCCAACTTGGAATATTTGACGAATCGAGCTTACCACCTTTTAATCATAAAACTTATGCTAAGACGGTTGGAGGTATTGATCCTTTTGTGAAACGAGAAATAATTATTCTTGAGGATAAGTCGTATACTTTATCTTATCATTATCATCCAATAAAACGCTGGAATGAATTGGATATAAATAATTCATCCTCTGCAAGCAGCTCTCCTTCACATTTTCTCCCTCCACCTACGACAACACTTTTTCCACCAAATCCTGATCCATTTTCACCTAGTTCTGAATTCCTTCCACACTTCCTTCCGAATAATTCACACGACTTATCATCAGTAAATTTAAATACAATTCATCGATGGACTGGTCTTACCCATATTTTGGTTTTGACTCCGACCGATATTTTTTCTTCTGGATCCGCCCCAAAATCTAGTACAATTGATCTTAGTACTACAAAACTTCTTCTTTCATCTTTTGCCATTGTATTTCATAATACAAAATGCAAACTCCCAGTTTTTGTTCCAACTGGTCAGATTACAAATTTATTATATGCCGGCTATATGTGTTTGTTTAACAAAGATGGTTCCAACAACGTTGACGATGCTAGTGAGGTAGAAATAAGATTCAATACTACCTACATTCGGGAGATTCCACCTTGCTATTCGCATCTAGCGGGTTTAGCTGATCTCTTTATTGAAAAAATGGATTTAAATCAATTGCCCTTTGGTGAGTCATTTTAAGAAAATTTATTAAATTCTTGATTTAATTGTGCTAATACGAAAATTAGACTTAATTGATAACACATACCTAGATCTGACAATCATATGATTTTGGTTAAACAGATCAAGTTGATGAACCTAAATTAGACAAGATGCCACATCTTGGAATTTCCGTTGCTGCTTTATTCACTTATGAATTACAAAATTGGGATGACCAAGATTGGAAAAATCTTAATTATGAAGATATTCAGCCTACTTCTCTTAATAATTCGAATGGCAAAGTTGCTTCATTTGAGGATGATTTTTTTGAAGAATTTGAAGGGCGAGATGACAGCATGTTTGGTAATGGTGATAAAAAGGACACATCTAATTATCCACGGACATCTACAAATGAATTTGTTTCTCCGGTCGTATCGATAACAAATTTACCCTTAGGACCACTTAATGATCCACTTGAGTCAATGTCTCTTACCGCGTTTTTTCCTTCTGCGCCATGTAATACATATTTAGACAACGATGTTTATTCTGAAATGGATGCCATGGGTGCTTCTATTTGGCTGTTGAAATGTAAATTTTATGAAGAAAATAATTTATATGGCTTGTTGTCTAGCCTTATAGATAATATAATTTCTTCTTGGATAATTGACAGCGGCAATAAACTTTCGGAAACTTCAAACAGTGGCAATCGTAACAGAGAACTAAGAAGTATACCTAATCGCGATTTGCCAGGTAGCTTCAATGATTATGATCTGTTTGATACAACTCGTTATGTTCGACAAACTACTGGTATAATTGTTGATATGGATGATGCAGATATCGATAATATATTGCGAGAACTATTTAATGTATCACGAAAGAAAAGATCAGCACCATATTATAATTCTGAAGGAATCAATACTTTAAGTGGTATCACTCTATTTTCTGCAGCAACGTTAGGCCTTCATTTTAATCACGCAAGGATTGTGCCATACAAATCTTTCATGTGGAATCTCCTTGAATATTTATTAGAAACAGTCTCCAGAACATCCAATTTCAGAAGCTATTCGCTTTTAGGATCATTGAAAATAGTCTGGAACGAAGTGCTTAAGCGTATTAGGTGGCATTGGGAAAGAAACGAACCTATACCCGATATTAACATATATAACTGGTCTGATAATTCAAATTCATCACTTTTTAATTGTGATAAAGATGCTTCAACTATCAAAAATAAAAATGAGTTATCATTAAATAAAAATGACAATACCGCTGTTGGAATTGATATGCGGTTCAACCTTGTTCATCAAAAACTGTGTATGATTAATTGTTGTATCGAACGTCTACGGAAATCTAAAACAAATACTTCAACATTATCTACAAGTTTTAATTCATCTAAAGAACAATTGCCCGAAAGTAACTCTTTTGAGTCTATAAAGCCAGATAAATCTTCTGACTTGGATCCAAAAATGACAAGCTCAGATGATTTTCTGGTTCGACTCTTTGATCGTATTACGGAGGATGATGATAATATAGATCCTTCGGCGTCATTGGTATTTGTGAGACCAGAGAATTCAAATGGTGCTACTCACGCTGATATAAGCACGACTACTGCCACCAATGGAGAAAAATATTCGAATGTAAGATTATATAGTGGTTTACCATTCCTTTCGTTCTAAATTTAATACTTAATATTTATTTGCAAACCTATATTTATTCTTAGCATGTTCATTCTCGCAGCATAGATTTTGTATCATTGCCTCCAGATTATGATGGTTCTTCGGAAGACGATTTCGTTGATCCGATAAATGAGATTCCAGCTGTTCTTCCTCTACGAATTCCTAAAAGTTCAAAACATCATAAATTTAGTTCACGACGGTCATCATCAATTTCCCAGGGTCAATCCTATTCATCCACGCCACCGTCTTTTTCTGATCAATCAGATCCAAACCAAATTTCGTCATTGACAGAATCTTACGTAAAACTTGATTACTCAGCCAGTATGGAGTCGAATAAAGGATTTGATAAGGAAAAACTTACAGTAAACGAGGATGAAGTTTATAGTGAGGTAAATGATGAAAATAAAAGGGAGGGTCATTTACATCCGTTCAATGATCTCACTTTGTTGGCAACTGGTGAACCTCTTTGGGTACCAGAAACTCAGGTACGCATAATTTTAGTTTCAAACAATACTCGATATAGCCTTTAGTAAATTTGGTTCTGCACCAATATTTATAGGAAGTTGGTTTCATGACCGAAGATATGCTACGTGAACAAGAAGAGATATTTGAAAAATTGGGCACGTCAGAAGATGCGACTAAAGTACGAGCTCAAATGCAATCTGCACATTTGCTTTCTGGTAAGTACTTTAAGCCGTTGAATATTTTGATGTTCATGCAAACTAATCTTTCATTATTTTTACATTCAGACATGCAGGCTTTCAAAGCAGCAAACCCACATGCTATCTTGGAAGATTTTATTCGATGGCATTCACCACGCGATTGGATCCCTGATGACAATAATCCAAACAAGGGAACTCTTAGCCAACGAATGTTGGAGAAAGGCAATTTATGGCAAGAACTGTGGAAGGTAAATAAGATATACATTGCAATTAACAATTTTTATAACATATTGTATGATTCATAAAGCATCATTATGCATAATATATAGACTGCCCAACGAATACCTGCAGTTCATCAAACTCCGTTGTTCAAATGTTCTCTGGAAGCAGAAAAGGTATAAAGCATTTACTAATTCAATTTGAAGATAATTTTTTATCATATAATTGATTGCAATTTATATTTAGGCACTTCATTATTTGGAACACTTATCTGTGAAAGATTTATTTAAAATGTTGGTCTTTATTTTATTATTACACAGTTTGCTTTGAGACTTTGTATAGCATCTCATATTTGTATATTATAAAATCAGGCTCTTGCCCACAATATTTCTTATCGCATATGATACATTAGTATCTCATCCTATCTCCAAAAGTATCAAGCAAGTGGCTTCCGGCTTGGAAACATTAGCGAAAGAACTGATTAAATTCCCATGGAATGATATAGGGTGAATAGATCTTTGTAAATTTCCGATTATCAGTTAAATAACAAACTAAATATTATATAAACTATAGTTCAGAAAATATCTCATACGATGGGATAATCCAGCTAATCCAACAAAATGAATTGTTAATGGGTAAAGCAATTTCACTTTTACGAAAGGTAGTCAACCTTTTTTCTTTTTTTTTTTTTGTGAAAATTTTACTATGTCTAAACTATAATAATTTTTAGTTACCTAAACAACATTCTCTTGTTGAAAAACTTTTGGATATACCGGAAAGTCAAGTTTCCGATGGGAAAGAACGTGAATGCGTATATGAATTGTTTTCTTCTGTTGGTATGTGAATAAACAAGATAGAAGTATTTTTTTGTATATTCATTATTAACGTAAACAACTTATATTATGGCTCTTGCCTGAAAATACAGCTCCACTTAACGATTCATTTCCACCGCCAACGACGCGAGAATTTGTCTTGCAGACAACATGTCTTAGGCCCACGCCAGTACCAGCAAGAATGTATGTGCTTTTAAATAATAACGAGATGAGAATTGTTGATATGGTGGGAAAAGATACTATATTCATGTAGAATATTCGCAGGTTTTTTTTTTTTTGATAGATACGTTGCATAAAATTGGAAAAAAGCATTTTTCCCTCAAAAGTAATTTATATTTTAATTATAGCTAGTATTATTACATTTATGTATAGTATATATTATATAAAAATATAGATTTTGGAAAATCATTCGATACAACAGGAATAACTATATTATTAAATAATATTATATTATATTAAAATTATATTAGATAAGATAAAAAAAAAAGCATGTTATTGGGATAAATATTTGTAATTTTATTATACTGAAAATTCCTCAAAAAATATATTAAATGACATATTATTAACATTTATTCGTATAAAAAAGAATATCATAGTATCATTATTGTAAATATGCTTCTATTATATATTTTCGTAACAAATCTAATCATGTTTTGAGGTTCGAAATAGATTCGTTGAGCAGCATCAAATACAAAAGCGAGATTAAATACATTAAAATGTAAGCGATAATAAATAATTGTTTACTAATTCAAATATGAAATGTTAATAATAGAATTATAAAACCATAATAGATGAATAAATGAACTGCAGTGGTATGATTGTAAATTCATTATGTTAATATAATTACATTTTTCTAATTTATAGTTATCATATCCAATAACCATTCCATTCTTTTATCATAGATATTACTAGAAAAAATTCTGCGAGTTCGGTCAACTATATATGTTGATTCGTATTTATTTTTACAGTAATAGTTTGTATACAGTATAAAATATAAGATTTAATAACAATTATAAATGATAATACATGCTAAACCACGGGAGATGTAAACAAATCAAGAAAAAATTTTTACATAATAAATAGCTAGAATTAAGGTAATACTCTATAGCGTTTATACTGATTAATTAACAAAAATTTGTATTAGAAATTAGTCTACAAAGAAAAAAAAGGTGTATGTATATAGAACGTAAATATTTTTCTGATTTGTTTATATTCTTCACTACGTATACATAACAACTTTGCTATTGAAAAAGAGTTTTTTTTCAAATAACAAGGATTAATCAAATCAAATAATTTATAATTTAAACCGAATTCAAATATTCATCAAAATAATTCCTATATATTGAGTCTATATCCTATTTAAAAAGTTTTATGATATTCTATATAAAGCCCCTATGATCAGTGTTGGCATTTGGACTAGATCCAATAAAAATTTCGTTTGGACATGGACATATGGACATATAAAATTTTATATGTCCAAATTTGTCCAAATAAAATTTTATATGTCCAAATTCGCCTAATTGCCAACACTGCCTATGATGTTCTTACACGCATAATATCTAAGTTTGAAATAATATCTTAACAAGGATCGCCGTGCTCTATAACATCAACAACACTACAAATATTATCTAATCCTTCCTTAGTAATCCTTGATGCAGCCTTAATATTCAAATATTTCAATGAACCTTTTTCAGCGTATCGAGCAAGGATATCTAGATGTTCATCTGTTATATCATAGCATTCTCGAATACCTATAAATTCTAATGGAGCAATACATAGGTCTAAAAATTCCTGCAATGCTGATGGATTAAAAGTCCAAATAGCACAAATATTTAATTTGAACAGGTTCGCAGGAATTAATGGTCCAAGTTGCGGTAAGAGTTCGTCGGCAATAACACGTTCTTTACCATGGACCGTTAAACTTTTTAGTTGAGAACAAGCTTGTAGAAAAGGAACTAATTGTTGTGGAACCTTTAAATGCCCCTCAAAGGAAGTTATATTAGGACAATGCTCAATGATAGTTTCAATAATTTCAGGATCATCTTCTGGATCGGTGACTTGTTGCCAATCTAATACTAATTCTTGTAAACTAATACAATTACTGCGAATAAATGAAGATACAGCAACAGGAGGTTTTGGTATAACTTTAAAGATAAATGTTTTCAAATTAGGGAAAGATACAGTTGTTATAGGCTCTAATGTTTTGTTAGTCACATTGTCACATTGAAATAATGATAAATACTTTAAATTAGTACAATTCACAAGTGACTCAAAAGTAACATCATCCCCAAACTCAATACCACGGAATTCCACATACGAAAGAGTTTTCTCCTGACTTCTTAAAGCAGAAACAATGTCAAATACTTTAGCAAACATAGTAAGCTTAAATTCTATTAAACCTTGTTGACTTTTGATAAGTTTTACCAACTCCGGAGGAGCGGCAGTTTTCCGATCATCCATAAAATAATCGACATTTAAACGTCGAATATTTCTACATGACTGAGCCATACTCTTAAAAATCTTTTTCTTATCGTAAGCACCACAACACATGAATTCCTGAAGATTTGATAAACAATCACGAGCGCCAGGAAAACATGGTATCGATACATAATCATCCTTATCAGTAAAAGATACCATGCCTTCTGTGCTAATAGATAAAGTAAGAATTGTCTTACAACGATTAATTATAAGCTTACAAAGTTCTCTGGCGACAACAAATCCGAGGGATGCATCCTTACCCTCATGCATTAGCCAAACTAAAGCTGAATCATATATGTTAACGTATTTTAGGTGTCTCATAAAAGCCACATAATCAAAGGTAGGCCTATTCATTACTAAATTCTCTATATTGATTCCTTCGTTTTTTAAAATATCCAATTCGGAATCATTAAGACATGAAAGAAGAGTTTGAATAATTGAGAAAGATGGTTCATCCAAAAATTGAAATGGATCATTCCATAAAATCGAAACAACACTTTCACACCATGTTCGATCCACTAAAAGACAAGAACGTAGAGACTTCTTATCTTTAGATAAAAGTCCAAAAACTAGACGAAGAATTTCAACTGGTATCAAAGACATTATATATAAATGGCTTGATAGATATCGTATATAATGAAAAAAAAAGAGTGAGCTGCAATGTAACAAATGAAATAAGCACAAGTATTTATACGTATAAATGCTACCGTTTCACACGATATATCACGTGAAAGATTCCTATCTAAACAGATAAATAATTTTGCAATAAAAGTGCATAAAACATTTATAAATGCACACTAATAACATTTACATACGTAATAATGCAAAAAAAAAAAGTATATATACATATATACATAAATATATAAGTACGTACCCTTTGGATAGATTTTAAACAATTCATTTGTTTATTAATTGTCGAGCATCACATATTATTCCCCGTCTAGCAACCATAATTTGCAAACTAATACTACAATATTCGGATCGTAAAATGTATCGGTATGGGAAAAAAAACCAAATAACATTTTACATATCAACTTTTTTCTAACCATTTTAGCAGGACATGACTATCATTTTTCAACTTCCTATATAGATGTCACTATACCGACTTAGCCAACCCTCCTCTGCACGATATCTAACTTTTTTCTATAGGTACTAGTTTACTAGTTTTATGACAGCGCATCTCTTTTCTGGATGATAAAGGCAGTTTGCAAAACTTTCTTCAATGGATGGTAGAGGTAACTTCAAGACTTTCT